CAATGTTCTTAATTTGTAAATACATTCAGGACAAGCAATTTACTTCAGAGAGAAGGCAAAGATACAAGAAACAAAACCAATCTAGAAAGGTTTTTAATAAAAGAAAGCAAAACCCATCTAGAATGCTCAATAATGTACTTAAAAGCAACTTTTCCAACCTCTCCAGGATAGGAAGGGTATGGTGTTCTGTTACATTTCACACAGACGGTGGTTTAGATGTATGTTTCAAAACTGTTAGTGCCTGAGTCAGTCTCTTCAAAAAAAACTAGGATAAAAATACAAGTACAATCGAGTTAATTCAACAAACATTTATTAAAAGAGTATGTGATAGGTGCTGTATGCTACATGCTGGGCACCAAACACAATTAGACATTGTCTTTATTGTTCAGGATATAAGAAACTGGTAGGGAGAGGGAAGGATGAAGATAACCTGATATGTATACTTGAATTGGCTCTTTCAGGTAGAAAAGCAGATAATGAACATTCTAGAAATAGGGAAGAACATTAGCCAAGTACAGGTGGTCTTGTTTTGCTACTACTTGTGGAACCTGGTGTGTGGACAGCTGAAAAGCAGCCTGGGAACGACAGGATCAGGCAGTAAAAGGCCATATGTCAAGGAGACTGGAAGAAGGGAGAAATCAGAGTTTTAAAGATAGGTTTAATAAGACTTAAGACACGGAAAATGTCAGAGAACTAGCAAATAGTATTTGATGTTACATTTGGACAGGAATGTCACTAATTATGATAGGAAAGATAAGAAATATGCTTTTTTGGAAGACTAGAGATAAAAACTTTTTAATGTGAAATTGGATATCTTTTCTACAGGAGATAGCTGTCCATATTAGGTTCTTGAAGGCAGAGTATTTATATGAGAAGGTATTTTCTACCTTAGTTTCTTATTTCAACTTTCCTTATTCAAGTATTTCTATACTCCAATAAAGTAGGAAGGACACAAAAGTACTCCCACTTATATACATACTTTGCCTTAAGCAAACATTAAAAAGAAATGTCATAAACAATTTAACACATTTGACTGACAGGGTTTCCCAATAGGACAGTTACAGAACCATTGTTGCCTTGGACAACATTATCTAAGCACAGAAAACTCTTAGCTATGTCATCTGATCCTTCAATTCACTTCATGTTTGATTTTGCTATGTGTTATGTTAAATGTGAAAAGTACTTAGGGATATAGGGAGGACTTCCACAGAATCACTTATCTACAGTAACTTCAACTGTGGAGGAAGTCCTGCCTTCTATGAGGTAGAAATTATTTTAAGGGTTTTAACAAAGGAAGAGAATGCCATGAAAGTACAAAGGAAGGAGGTCTTGCATTTATCTAACCAGTGACTACCCTCAGTTGTTTAGGAAGAGCTTGTTGAGGTAAGATGGTTCTATAGTACTATGGCTACCCCAATGAGATTAAGATGCTCATGGGGCAGGTAAATCCCCTGTGCAAAGCTTAGGAACAGTAGAACATATTGACTATCTTCCTACCAGGAATAACTGAGATGTGGAGATATGCCCTTCTGTTATTTCCTTCTCTGTTTTCAAAGCTTCAGGAGTCACTCATTTAAGTTAGTTTATCTGTTTGTACACTCAGGAAAGCACCTATAAATTATTTACAATATGTCCATATTAACTGTACAACCTGAGGTTCTGGCAATACAAGACTCATAGTAACTCTAAGCAAGTACCTGGGTCTCCATTTCCAACTTTTCTAAAAATGCAGTCTTTATTCAGGACTTAATGTAAAGCATGAAGAACCTCTAAAATACACTAGGCTGTACTACTAAGCAAAGATGACCTGTTACATAAGCAAACAAGTGGCTTTGGTGACTATCTTCTTTCTGTTCCACTCATTATGGACACGGACATGCTACTATTTCCACAGACCTTTAAAGATTAGTCTTATACAAATAAACTTCTACACTATTATAAATTAAAAAGAGGTTTAATACCTATTCAATTTAGTATTCAAGTCTACAGAAAAAAGATCAATGACAACTGCTTTATTAAAAGTTACTAAAGGCCATAAAGCACACAATTTATATTCAACTAACAAAAGTTTGATACATGTATTTAAAAATATATAATATATAGATTTGTCTGCCTTAACATTTATATTCTATTTAAAAAGCAGTAGCTTTACATATTTTACAACTTGAATTTATAAAATATATACATCCCCCCTATACAAGTTCTCAAGCACAAACTTCCATTCCTATTAAAACAATGTACAATCTGTATTTCTGAATATTGAAACACAGTACTAACCAAAAACAACAAATCCATTTTAACTTGAACATGCACTTAATTCTTGGCTACTAGAAAACTGACCTAATAATCTATTTGAATAATTATTTTACCTCAAGCCAGACAATCAATTTGTACTTATGTAAGCAATCTGTGGTTAACTATGTAGAGACTTGCATTTTTATGGTACTGACACAATCTACCAAATTGCTTAGTCTTGTTTCAGGCTTTAAAATTAGAGAGGCAGGATTATTCAATCTTTCCATGTAGAAGGATATTTGACAAGTGATGTCACACCTAACAAGCCAAAGTCCAGTAAGTTTCAAAACCATGTTTTGGCTTTGAGAAAATAGCTTAAAATTACTGTAGGAGCAAACTTTTCTCAAAACCATGATAGTGTATGTGCCAAAAAGAGATCAGGGACTGTTTCTCCTTTCCCAGTCAAGTGCACTCAACTTAAAAAATTGGAGTTCCTTAGTTATATTAAGATACACCAGCTTCTATTCAGGCATTCCTTCCACATGTTCAAAATGTCTTCAGATACTATATTGGTTTATAAACCAAACCCTCTTCATAAAAAAAGATATTAATGTAATCATTCCAAAGATTCACCACTAAATACAGGTCTCAGTACTAACAATTGGGAATTAAAATAACAAAAAACACCTCAATTATCAGGACCACAGTCAGAACCAGAACTTCAACTTGAAGGACAGAGATCTTCTTGAAATACTTATTTTGAGTCCATGGGCTTCTAATGATAATGATGTATATAAGCCTGTCTTTAAATTAATGCACAATTTATGCTGAGAAAGCAAAAGTCTCATACAAATACTTTTTTGGCGGGGGGGAGGAACAGTTCCAAATCTCAAAATGGTCTAAAAACTTAGATGGAAAAACACTTTTACCAAAATAAGTAATTTAATTATTTGGGAAATAATTTGGCTTTGGGAGAGTTACCATCCAAAAAGTGAACAAAATTTCCTCAATATTGGTATTTATGAATTAAATGATAGTCAACAGTTCATTTATCAAGTAGTCAATTATTCAAAACATTTAGCCATCTACTGATTAACTGAAATTAGGTATTAGATATATGTATTTATAGGAAGGAGTCTTCTTATTAAAAAAAAATTCTGATGTAATTTTAATAATTTTCCTAGTCTGGATTCCTTATACCCAAGAAAAGGAAAGGGAAAGGAGAAGGGAGAAGAGAAGGTGGGAGGGAAGGTAGGAGGGAGAGAGGGAAAGGAAAATTTAGAGAAATCAGAAAGGGAAACAGCTGAAGGCTGATACACTGGACATCTGTGAGAGACAGGGAGAAAAATAAAAGAGGGAAAACAAACAAAACAAAGACTGCAAGGAGGATTAGGGCCAGGTGGTGCAGATTAAAAGACCTCTTCTTCACATATCTTAATCATGTAAAGGCATTAGCATAACACAGAATAGTGCAGCAGCTGATTTGACAACAATGAATACTCAGAAATTAAACATACGGTTTAGCTTTTTGAAAACCAACTTACATACACAATTATAAATATTAAGCATTCAGCTAAAATTTATACAAAAACTAAATGAAAGTGAGATCGAGAATACAAGCAGCAGTAACCATAAAGGCTTAGAACTAGTGACATTGAATCCTTTATTAAAAAAAAAAAAGTTTTTAAACACACAGTACCTCCTCTTCTCTTCTAATTTCAAGAAGAAGCTTTAACAAGTTTTAAATATCTCAATTCTCAAAAACAACACTTTTTAAAAAAATAAGACTTGATTACAAGAAACAAGTAATATGTAGTTAACATACCAGTTTTATATCACTATACTTTTCCACTATTTGTCAATTCATCTTTGATGCAATCTGGGAACAATTAAGTAGTCACTAGATACCTGTTCTAGAATCAGAAGAAATTATTATCCACCACCAGAATCTAATGATATGTATTTTTGCATATATTTAAAATTTCAGAAAGGAAAAAGTAATAAACTATTCAACTTTATACCAAATATTTATATATGTAGTCAAAACAATGTGGGTTTAAGATCTTTCTCCAGATGAACTGTATATAAAAGCTATTTCTAGCATTTTCTTTTGGGGATTAAAAAATGCTTTCTTTCCCTGTTAAATGGAGGAATTTACACATTACATGTAAGTCCTTCAGAGGTGAATATTAAATTCCTTAAGAGAACAGCCATAAAATTTACTTTTAAAAATTTCCCTTAGAAATCTGAAAACCATTTCTCTTTAATCTATGGCATTAGTACCTACTTCACATTTTCTTTTTTTGGAAAGGGCACCAAGTTCATGATCTAAGCATGTAAAATAAGGAACTGAACATATCATCTTAACAGAATTTGGCAAATGAGAATGGCCCTCAAATAAATAAATAAATAAATAAATAAATAAAGGAGAGCGTACATATTGTCTAGATACGAAAGTATAATTCTGTAGGCCTATGCAGCAGACAGTGCCCCAGAAAGGGAATGCAGGGAGGAGGGAAGTAGTGTGGTTTCTATGTACATTTTCTTGGTATTCTGGTTGCCATTCAACAACACATTATGAAGAACTATTCTTTCCATTATTACAAAGCCATTAATTGCCCTCACTAAAGCAATGACTCATGTAAATGTCTTATGACTTTTAATGTAACTTATATTTAAAATTAATTGAATCTAAGTACAGAAGAGTTTTCAATGATTTCTAAGTTCACGGGAGCAATGAATAAGGTTAGTTATCTGATTGCAAATTTTGAATGGCTGGTGTTCCTATATTTTAGGGATATTTCATCTTATTTTCTTCTCTTTAAAAGCCATAAAATGTATTGAAATTATCTGGTTTTCCTTTACTTTTCTCTGCGTTATTTTAATTTATTTTATGGTATCTCTAAGTAGAGAGAGAGAGAGAGGTATGTTAAAATACTGTTATTTGTATTAAAAAACTCAACTGAGGCTATATATGATCTATTAATCTATAGTATAGCATTGTTAATCTTTGACCTGGTATATTAATTCCTGTAGTGACTAATGTCACAGGTCATTTCTTTATAAAAGGATTTTAGTAAGAGGACCAGCAGTATGGAGAGAGAGCCCCCACCCACACCCCCAAAAACGATCAAGTCAATTTCAGTAGTTTAGAGCAGTTACGTAAAATATGAAAAATACATAATTTACAGCTGCAATTTTCATATTAAAAAACAGTTAAAAACCAAGTAGTTCAAAGCATTCCAAAAAACATTTTCTTGCTTGGTTAAAGAGGCCAACTAATAAGATCGAAAATGACTATTGTGAGAACCTATGTGTATTTAGTCAAGATAGAACAAAAATATTTTTGATTTTTAAAAAGTGGTAGTTGCTAACTATCAGTATAAACAATGTCTACAATTTGATGGCTGGCCATAGTTTCAGTTTTGTTTTGTTTTTCAAGTTATTTCCACAGCAGACATATTTTTGAAGTCTACCCACCCCTGAGTTCAACAATTATACTTTGAGTGTAAAATTACATGCCCTTAATTAACAACATGTACAAAGCTACAAAATGTCATCTATACAGAGATTAAAAACAAATTTTTAAATATTCTTTGCCAATTATTGATTGGATGGTTTTACTGGGGTATGTATTTCAAACGTTTCAGCCAACTGGCTTTTATTTTTAAGCCCAAATCGATTCATATATTCACTGCAGGATATTTCAAAATGGGTGCAATAACAGGCATTAGTAAAAATAACATTGTAGTAGAAACAGATCTTGCATATGTGAAAAGATAATTTATAAAATACAGTAATCCCTTTTTAAAAAGAGCCTGGTTGCAGTATTATTAACTTATTAACTTATATGGTAATGAGAATTGGACCTTTCAACAACTTTTTTTTCTATAGAAAAATTTTATCTAGCTGTAAGCAAAGTCCTTTAAACAATAAGAAAACAAATCCCTCCAGGAAAAACTATGGTTGTGTGAGACAAATAAGCAACCATACCACTCTACAGTGTACTTTTGCATAAATTTTAAAATAAAAATGTCCACACTCTTTTGTTAAAACATTAAGCCTCTGTCAAAAATGTATTTCTTTTTTAGGATACAGGACTGAAAGACAAAGTGATACTTACAAGTAAAGAAAATTTACAGGAAAAAACAAGCGTTTTTCAATTAAAGTATTGTAACATTCAAACTTGACTGAAAACAACAAAAGAAACAAAATCGCAAACAAAAAATGTTCATGGATTTTCCAAACATAAATAAATGAAATAGTGTTTAGGCAGTAGGGCTCATGCTGATGGCTAGCAGGAAGTAACAGAGTGTAATCTACTTGGAAAACTGTTAATGTACAAATAACAAACCCAAATTATGGACTGCAGTAATTTAATCATCACTGCCATTTTTCTTATTTCCAAAACAAACCCTTGATTAAACCATTCATACCCTATATTACTCATACCTTTACTTCAGAGATTAAGGAACTATATACAACGAATGAATTTATTTCACCATAGGGATAACATATTGTACCTCTCTGCCAATGTTACTTGAAAACCTTCCACGTCAAAACAATTTGACAGCAGATATAAACAAATAAATACGCAATGATCTTTCATTACAGTCCTTTAAAGACGCATGTTAATTCATGCTGTTAACCTTAAGATCACAGTGCATAGAATCCAAATATAAACAGTTGGGGTGACTTTCAAAGTAATGTTGGATCCCTCACTTTATTTATAATCCCACTATAACCGATAAGTTCATTTCATAGGTCCTGTCATGCATTAATCACTGGGTGGCAGGAATTAATGAAAATTTTCCTGTTAGTACGTCCACTGCCGGCAATGAACGCTCCCAAACCGTCAAGGAAATCATTGTTATTGCACAATACATGAGGACCTAGAACTCTTCCAAAAGCTTAAAAAAATAAAAATAAAAAATGGAATTATATTTGACATTTCCTGACACCTGCATTAATACTGTATGACTAATAAAAAGCATGTCAGTTGCCTGGTCTGAACCAGCTATCAACATGCGCCCAGAATGCACACGAGTAAAAATGCAGAAAAAGGAAGTAGTCTTCATAGCCTATAGGTCACTTCCAGTCAAAGGTTAAAGTTCAAAGACTGAATGATCAAAGTGCTCATTTTCTCAGTAGGACTATCTTCTGCTAGGAGGATGTTAACAGTGGCATCAACAAGTATCATCTTCAAGAAAAGGAGAAAAAAGATAATTTAAAAAATCAAGCACGCATAAGTAAAACCTATAAATTAGTCTAACACATAAATAATTTCAAGTAGCAAGAACAGTTTACATGTCTGACTTGCCTCCCCCAATCTCTGTAAATAAAAGTCCAATCTATATTCAATTAAATAGTAACAAATTTCATTCTTTCAGGGAAATGGTAGTTTACAGAAAATCTTAAAATATACATTATTAGTATGTTAAAATATTAAATTGGTATATATTAGCACATATTCAGGATTATCAGCCTTAAAAGAATTTTTTACAAGCAATAATTTAAAATTATTGAGATGAAGTATAAACTCTTAAATCTATCATGCTATGTAACACAGAATGATGCAAATCATGTTTTTAGTCTGTGAAGGAAATAACTTCACAAGTGAGGAACAATCTCTAAATCAATCAGTCAATAGTTATTGCTAATTCTCTTTAGAAAGTAAGTTTTTCAGCAAGTATAGGTAGAAATGCAAAGGAAGTCATTAAAAATATCTCACAGAACTATTTAGTGATGCCTTCTGGTAGCCTTAACACATTATATTTATGTAACACATAGTTTTGGAGGGTGATGACTTTTTACACAATTTATTTCACTAAACACATCTGAATGATTTATTTTGAAGATTGGTTATTCTTCAGAAAGCTTTATAACGAAGAAAGACTAGTGGCAACTACCCAAGAGTTGTGAACACTAATGACAAAATTCTAAAAAAGTAGCCAAACTACTTTACAAACCATTACATGTTAGGATTGATACATTGCTAACTAAATTTCCATTCATAAAGACTCAATGAAAGCTAGAAACCAGTAAAACTGACTTCTTTGCTGTACAAACTAGTGTAATATTCCATGATCCTATGCCATAAGGACAATAAAGGGTGAAAAATATTTTTAGAGTAATTGTTATTTAAATTATTAGAATCCTTTAAATAAATATCTCTAAAGAAGAAAACAAGTGGATAGTTTAGAGCCGCTAGGTGTCACATGAAAATATCCTAAATTACTAAAGAACTTGAAATAAAGAGGATATATCTGTTACGGATGCAGAACAAACTTAAAAATATGAAGAGGTTTCCTAAAACATCACTTTTCCAGTATTTTATAGCATTAGAATCCTTGAAATTAATACTAAAATTAATTATGCTTAAATCTCTGCACTAAGAGACAGAGCTAATCTCTACCTAATATGTTAAATCACTAAACTTGAGTATCATACCACATAACAATTCAACTTGAACATAATGTTATCTAGATGGCCAGCAAGTTTTTACCTACAAAGACATATCATCTTTGATAGGTGGTACCACAGACGTATATTTATCAGGTTGTTCATTCTGTAAGTTTTTCAGTACAGCATGGTGCTGTGGAATATGCTACCAATCGCCAAAATGATTAGGAGAGCCAGGTGATGCTAATCTACCTCAGTCCCCACCTTGAGCCAGATGTTAAAAGAATTTAGGACAAATATGATACTACCTGCCTTGAATACTCTATCTTTGGAAAAATAAACTTAACAAAGTAAGTTCCGAAGATGGAGTTCAATTATCAAAAATCCATGATGGCTATAAGTATTCAAGAGTCTATGAGCAAATACTCAAGTATGGAGACAGGTGCAAGGCAAAGCCATGGCCACCTTTTCCCTAAACAAGAAGCCATCACTAAGAAGCAAAACACTCGTTTGTTAGCAGTGCAGTTTCCTAGCTAGGTGAAAAAGATTACTGGAAACTAGGAGTGACTTACAAAAAAAGGTTGTTAGAGTAAGCCCATCTTACATCAAGATAAATGTTAAGTCTATAAAAGTTGGTGAAAGAACATAACATAATATATTTAACCTACTGGCTAAAGTATCTATAGCAAGATGATGGCCTGAAAAAAAAAATCTCATATTAACCATTTACATTTTTTCTTGAACTGTAACAGAAGCCCCTACTAAAATTATACCTCAAATATGATATACAAATTACCAGTTCTGAAGAGGTAATCCCTACCACCACTAACTTCACTGAGTTTCTGGGAAATGTGAGAGAGAGAACTATATTAGAACAAGGTCATTTAACTTCTCCCAGGGTATAAGAAGCATCACATTATATTGATAACCATCTTCCTGGCTATACCTGAGGACAGGAGAGACCAGAAGAAAAGGAACACAATAGGTCACTAGATATAAAGTGGAATGCTGCCTCCAAGGAAGGCAAAAGTAAATCTTTACAGTTAGGGTTGTCTCTCAAGAATTAAGGAATTACAGTTTTCATTTGATGAACCAATTCAAGAAAGATTTCAAAGTAGACAACAGAATTGCTATTCAGCAGGGGAAAAAATGGCAAAGACTGTTAAACTGAGTAAAAGTTTGGACTTAGGAATTTAGAAAGTAGTTTTGTAACCCTACAAGTTAGTACAAATAAAAAAATAAAAGGTTCACCACTAACATAGGTAAATCTGTGGACAGCTATAAGGTAGGGAGAAAAGGAGTTTAATACTAGTCTGAGAATTTTATATTCCTAACCCCTCAAAAGTTTTGTAATTCTACAGGAAATGTTCCAGGTGATGGAAAGAAAGCAGTTTACAGTTTCATTTCTAAAAATTTCCCTATTTCCCCCAAATCATCAGTTTATTGGGTATAACATCTAAATATTATAACAATTTACTATTTACAAGCCTGGTTTTCTGGAGTCAACACACACAATAGCAGTGTTAAGTTATATTGTTCAATTCTCCATTACCTTCAGGAACCACAGCCCTGTACTCCAATCAGTAGAAAGCAATTATTTATGAAACTAAGTTGTGTATGTTTAATATTGATCCCAGGAAACAGATGATATTAATAATGAATCACATTATTAATGGACTCTATTTGACTACCTCAGTGAAATTATTTTTTATGATAACATAAAAAGATATCTTTAATCTTTTTCAAGGACAACTTTGCCTATTTTATGATAAAGATCTTTGAGGCTCATTCATTCATGTGTGCACTGAACTGGACACAGATCTTTTTTCTAAGGAAGATTCTATCTCTGAATCATAGGTAAATTCCTCAGCCCCTCCATATGCTGAGATGAGTTGTCTCTTCAAATACCTATTTTGGTTAGGTCCCTTTACTTTTTTCAACCCTATTCTCTCTGCTCATTCGATTTTTCAAAGCACATGGGGGTCCCTGCCTTAACTGGACACACAGAATATTTTCATTCCAATGCAGATATGTCTTTATTCAAAGGAACAAAATAAAAACTATAAAAGAGTTCTGAAAAACATGTTGATAGTTAACTTTAGGTAAACACCAGTAAGGATTATGTATTCCCATATAAATGACATTTTACACCTTAGTAAGTTACTGTGTGCTAGGAAAGAACTTCAAAAGAAATGCAATATAAGGAATGATGTACACAAAGACAATGATCGTAGGGTAGCAGCAACTGGCCTAATTTTTAAGGTATACTAACTAACAATGTAGAAAATCACAAAGTTAAGCTGAGAGAGGCTTTTTTCAAGAACCCAACACTGGTATCTGGCAGCTCAATTTTGGTGTGTCTGCTGAGTCCTCCTTCCTCTTCTAAAACTAAGAGATGCACTGAATTTCAGATTTTCCATTAGTAGTGCCTCCATTCTGTATCCAGGAAGCACCTCTGCAGAACACAGATATCACTATTATCTAAACCAACCTCTCACCTCTGATTATATCTGATAAACACTCTGACCCACCTTGACCCAAGTATGTTGGTTAGCACCACCTAGAAGGACTGTGAAACTTGATACCTGAGGCCTACAGTATGGCTTGGTTTCTAGAAACTGAAATGCTAAGCGTTTCAGTGAATTCACCCAATTCCAAGTAAGTCATTACTGAGTCTCTCATCTTTTTGTTTAGCTTGAAGGTCACATCAGGACACTGATCTGACCTGGTAATCCTTTCAGAATTAGAAGATGTTAAGACAGAATAGGAGTCCATATTGGTATTTTGTTTTTACAATGAGAACATGATCAATGAAGATCTTTTGGAACTGAAGCTTCAAAGCAGAAAAACACACACTGGAAAGCTCTAAAACAAAGCGGACTCATTCTGCTTTATGAATGAGTATGACTACTTTTTTGATAAAGATTTTCCAAATTCAACTATAATGCCACAGTGGGCTATTTTTCATATTGCTTGTAATTGTTACTCTGAAATGTCTATAAAAAAGACAATATATGCTACACAGAAATACTTTAGGTTTTTAAATGTGAAGGAAAAATTCAAGGAAGAATGGTCAACCACCTTTACGACAGAGCAGTTGCTCTATCATCTCAAAGTGCAACTAATACTATCCTCGATTTTGCATGAGGCTCACTTATGAAACAGAATTGATGATTTAAGGGAGAATAAGGGAAGGGAATGATTCAGGAATACAGGGTTCAAGCAGGAGCAGAAAACATATTATGATAAGAATGGCCACTGTAAGTCAATGAACTTTTCAATTAAAGTATCGTAACATTTTAACTTGAGGATGTTTTAAACAGAATTATCTGCAAATGAAAAAACTGTACCTGTACCTGGGATGGGAAAATGGACTAGAATAGTCATGATTTAATTTAATTTGAATCTAGTGCCTTTAAAAAATGGGTAATTTGTATTGGAGGGGAAAGAAGAGAAGGCATACTTTTAATCTGTTTATTGGGAAAATGAAATCTTACATAAACCCTGGACTATTTTATTTTACATTAAGAGGTTAATTTAGTCTGAAAACCTCTTTTCTTGGTACTTTTTGGCTAATCTGGAGATGATCCATCTTCAAACTATTAAAAGACTTTCTACTTCAGTTATTTAGAGTATGGATTTTTCAGTAACAGATAAAAACTTTGAAAAGTAACTTCTACTGTGATGTGTATTTTATTTTAAAGAACTTTTATATTTCTAATTTTACTATGTGACTTTTCCCCATTTCTTATTCAAAAGCAGGCAATAAATTCTAGAAGTTTACTTAGATACCTAGACCCCTCATAAGTCCTTTTAACTGTATAAGGCAGCATTAGAGGCTTGAAAAATGATCTTTTTGAAATTTCCCTACCTGGGAGTTGGAAGGGAAAAATAGGTATATACCACCGAATACTGGGGTGGGAATAAAGTGGTAGAGGGGGTTATACTTTCAAAATATATGTGGTTTAAAAACACTGTGGAAAAGACAATGGGAGAATTTTTCTATTATTAGCGAGGCTGAGTCTGAAATAGAATGACTACTACCTTAGTAACTTTGACACTTTAAAAAATGTTTTAGTTGTGTTTGTCAATATTCTTGATTGACTGATCTTAATTTTTTGATGAGTTAGGGAATTTACTATGGTAAGATAAAGGGGTAATATTTTAATTTTTTTGTTTTGAAAGGTTCTTTGTCAAGGCACAGAAGGAATAGGCAGGCAGCTTAGTGTTTAGTCCAGACAAGAGAGTGTAAAAGAATGAGAAGTCAGCAATGTAAACTGAAGTAAAGGGCCATTTAATTAAAGTAGGATCTAGTTATAAGTTTTAGTGGACCTTTGGTGCTTAGAAAGATTATGCATTTTTATTTGGAAATCTGTCTTTTTTATATCTAAGAATCCTTGAAAGAGTCTCAAGTGACAACCTTCATTTTTTTTTAGCTGAGGATATCTTAAAAACTAAAACTAAATCAGCATTCTGGCACAGTAATAGTTTATTAGATTCCCAAAAAGAGGGAGTAATCAACAAGGCTTTGGTGAAAAAGTTCCCAAGAACAGATGTGCGTGTGTGCACATGCACACAGTGGAAGGATGAGCTCCAGGCAAATCGCACATGTGGAGGCAACAACATGCAGGATGAGGATTAGAATGTATATTATAAATAATGTTCCACTGAACATTTCATGCATAAAACATTCTTTATAATAAAGATGATTTAAGGATGGGTTCTTATTAGTTTAGTAACTGAGACAAAAGGTCTGATCTTGAACTTTAAGCATGCAAACACTGCCAAACAGCTTCCTTAAAGGATTATATTAACTTGCTATATACCACCAGCAAGTATGAAAACAGTTTTATTCTACCCTTTTCTCTCCTACAGCATTCCCTTCATTTTACAGTACTGTCAATTCAATACAGTTTCAAAATATAAATTGATAATTATTTTATTGTGTTGAACTTTTTGGCAAATGCTTTCAGTGTTTCTTATTCTCAAGCAATTTTCATAAATGGTCTTTATTCTGAATAAGCTATAATTGTTTCTCACATTATCTTAACTGTCCTTGAGGTTTCTGGGTGCCTTTATAAAAGGTTGAAATTTTCATATAACTAAATGCTTAATTTCTGTGTGGTCCCTTTTAATTTCAGAAGTCCTTCCTCTAAAGTTGATACCCAAGTTTTTAAATAATATTTTTTCTTTTTAAAAAGCACTTATTTCAATCCAGAGGAAGTTTTTTATACATGACATAAAAATGTAAATTTTTCTTTCCTAGGATTAGGAACTTTATCTAGGAAAATGACCAATTTTCCAACAAGATTATGTATTAATTGTCCCCTTATCGTCACTGATGTGTGACACCTTATTTACCATACATTTAAATTTTATATATAAAAAAGTTTTGAAAAGAGTAATTAATTCTATTTCAATATCTATTTTTGCATTAGTATGTTTTGGTGTGTGATACATCAGTTCTCTTTCCTTACCTCTTAGTTTAAAATCAAACTGTTCTCACCAGTTATTTTTTCAAAACATTTCAAACACCCACCCCATCACTCCACTGGATTTTTATTCAGTTATATTAAACTATTATTTGTAACGAATATATATATATATATATTTTTTTATAATACTTGTTTCTCATCAAAGTATCTCTATTTTTTTCATAGCTCTATGAAGTTTTGGAATTTCTTCTGGGTCATTTATATTTCTCAGTAACCAAAATATTTGTATTTCTGGGGCTCTCAGGTCTGGCATTCGTCTTTCACTGTGTTTTCTAATTTGTAACTATTACTACTACAAGTGCTATCTAATGACTCTAGTCATCTTTTATCTCAACACTTAAGATAATTCTTGTAATTAGGGAAGTTTTTAGTTGACTCAACTTAACTGACAGAAGGTTTCACAATGGATAGAAGGGTAAGGAGAAAGGACATATTCCTATTAATTAGTTTTGCCAGCTCTAATTTCTTATAAGGTAATATTTTAAAAGAGGAAAACAAAAGAAATGCTCTTATATTTATAAAAAATCACAGGGGGTGGTTTTTGTTCATTCAGCTCGAAACATACTTTGAGGAATATTAACTTTTTGTTTTTAATTTCAAAGACCTCTTTGGGGAAGCAGTAAGATCAGTTTAGAAAGGATGCTAGCAACTTTCAATTATAAAGCTAACATTACGCTCCCAACAAAAACAATAGAAATTTAAAATTAATGAGGGTATTGTATTCATAAAGCTATAAGCACCAGAACCCCAATTTGTTTTGAGGAATAACTATTAGAATAGGAAGTGCTTTAATTAGTGAGTCATCTCTAACAATAAGCACCAGTGCCCTCCCCAAGAACAGTGCCAGAAAGAAATGAGTACACAAGGCATCAACCTTCTACTTCAAATAACAGGTTTTCCAACAGCTAGTTCTGATTTGATCTAACAATTTAGGAGTTCTTTTTTGTAAAATGGTAGAGTTAAAGCAGTTTTGTCTTTTACTTATATGATGGCTATGACTTCATGTGCCTCATTAAAAATCTAGTCTATCTTACCCATAAAGTATCTTAAAATTTTAAAGACACTTCTTATATTACAAAAATACAGTATCAATTATACATTCCCTTTTTCCCAAGTAGATATATAGTCTTTTAAACCAAAATGCTAAAACAGTATCATTCTAAAATAAGGCAGCTTACCATGATACCACCATTTTGTTTTCTTTGGATTCTTGTTACATGTTCGAACATAAAAAGAATTATCTGGTGGTCGTCTCTGAAACCAAAGAGTTTAAATAGGTAAGAAATTGTAAAATAGAAAAACGTAAGTGGGAGATAGTTGTAATAAAAGCGTTAGCAAAATTACTACAGAATTCATGGAAAACAGTATAAATGTGATGGCATAACTAAAAGAATATATATTCTAGGGAATGTAGGTTCTTGACACTAAAATTAAAAAAAAAAAAAATTGGCGTGTCTGTGTGGTTGGGTTAGGTTCCAGTGAGATTACTAGAGAATGACTATCAACCAAAAATGACTGCATTAGGTTATAAAGAATTTTGGTTTCATTTATCTTATCTCTCTAGATATAATTCAAGAATTATTTTTCTGAGCTGATTAAAACAGAAGAGTCTAAGTAGATCTGTCTGAGAAATGATAGCAATTTAATAAACCTCCAAAGGATTATTTTCCTATGGGATCAAGGAATTTCATTTCCAGACACTACAAAAGAGGAAAAGGGGGGGATTTATTGGCATTTCTGCTATACATATGCCCTGCTTACCATAGTGTTAGAAACACACAACAGCTCTGCAAGGTAACTATGTCAGGAATAGTGATGCTCACAACACTGAGGACAGATAATGGAAGAGGATTTTCTTGAAAAATGTTGGATATTGATCACATACAATATGTGGCTCTGAAAAATTTAGAAATGTGTTAAATTTATATTAAAGCCACTAAGGGCAGGTTGGTAGATAATATGATAGGTCTGATCAAAAAGCAATGGTGAGCAGGACTACTTAGATAGCAGGAAAGAAAATAGGCAGTCCAGATTGCACTTCTAGAACTCATGTACATAACTATGATCTTAGTTGAGCCTCGTGATGCCCTTCAATTAATATTAATATTAATTTAACAAAAGGGAAGATTAGAGCATAACATATTATGGATATCCCATGATAATCCTTTTGATACAGTTCAAGAAAATTCCTGAAAAACTATCATGAAATAGATGTCTGACTACTTCAAAGAATAATCTGCTGTTGTTTGTTCTGCAAAGTCATCACATCTATAGTCATGTGGAAAACCATGAGTACCATATGCTACTACCATAACAATTTTATAAGCTCATATTTATCCATATATTTATTATAACTCAATCTTTAAAAAAATACTTAAAAAAATCCACTCATTCAATTTGCTTAAGTAAAGAATATAACCACATTGGTTAGTGATCAAGGAGATGTGGTTGTTAGAAAAATAAAACTACACGAAAAGATGGAATACCAAAATTGTTTTAGGAATGGAATACAAACTGGAAACTCTAGACTATCTACATTATAAGGGCACTGAGAATAAAGGGTTGAGGACTGAAAATTCAGTCACTGGTCTCAATATCAGAAATTAACTTTACTGAAATCTACTGACATAATGGATTTAAATGCCTTCAGTTTAGGGAACCATTCTTGATTGTGAAAATGGAAACTGGAAGAAAAGAATTATGACTCAACTGAAGTCCCCAAATGCCTATAGTAAAAATTAAAAGTTTGTATTCAAAGAGAATCAACTATTAAAGTGAAACTCATAAAACCATGTCTACCACAGTACAAAATTCACCTATTTAACAGAAGAGCTTCTGGTGAGTATTTAAAAGACTTTTTAAAGCTTATTTGTAGCTAATAATGCCAAACAAAATTTCCTCTTCATCTTTGTAACCTAGTACTTAGCACAGCAAAAATGACACATAGTAGGTATTATCATAGGCTTGCTGAATTTTACCATATTTCACAGAACTAATGCTCCTAGAATTCTAACTTCCAGATTATCATCTTGGTTAAATATAACTTACATCTTTATTATGTAATATAGCTTATCAATCATTTAAATGGAATGATTAGTCATATACTATATGCAACAAACACTAGTAGCAGGTAACTAGAATGTGAGGGTAATAATAAAGGTTAGAGAAGTATGAAGGCGGTAGAGAATACAGTCACTTCCTAGTTTTTAATAGTAAATCATTACATTTAAATATTAACAGACACTAATATAATCATAAAACTCATGCAAGAGCTATGTGCAGACATCGCTGGTGTTCATCTCTTTTAATTTTTCTTATTAAATCCTATAGTTATTGCCTTACCTTTCTATAGACATTACACATTAACGGACATAGAAGCCCTTTAACTGCAAACTGCTCTGCTCTGTATCAGAAAGTTTAAGACCTGTATGCTTGTGTTGGGGGTGAAGATGGGGGAGAGGAGAAAATATGCAAGCAATAAATAAGTAATACTTGTTTCCAAAGCCCTTGGGGTTAACAAAAGTTCAAGTGTAGACTTAAAGTGGAACTTAGAAAAGCCAATACCAAAAAAGAATGTGAAGTTATAAAGTGATACTAATATCAGATAACATATACCCTATTTCATCTAAGATGTACATTTTTTCTGCACATTTTAATATTCCTGAATGAGGATACATGTTTTTGAACTAATGGGGTGTCATAGTTTAACAGCCAGAAGTTTTTTCTTCTCTTACACGGTATAATAAATTGCATATTAAAGACTGTTAATGCTTCAATATTTAAAAATTTACAATTTAACATATGGCTTCCCATGCTAATTTGAACAAAAACCTTACACCAAAAAACCTCTTAAGGAACTAACATTTCAAGAAACCACTTTGCAAACAGTGGTTTAGGGTGTTTCAGAGTTTAGATAATCTACCATTTAAAAAGGAAGTATCTTTGAAGTTCTCTAAACACTAATTTAAAATGACAGTTTAATGTGGAGAACACAGGTAAAAACCTGCTAAAATAAATAACCCCATAGCTTCTTAATCTCTAAGGTAAACTTGTTTCTCCTTTAAACACAATACGAAAGGGAAACCTTCCTAGAGAACAGAGGCTGTAAAAGGTACAAATATGTGAATATTGTGCTATACTAACCCTCCGTAAGGAATAATGAGGGTCAGAAATGCACAGAGGATTCAGATCCTTTAAAGGGGAATCCTAAATTTACCTCACATGATTTTTCTTTCTGGACTTTCTCCCTTCTCCATCAGACATAGACTGTGGACTAGTCAAGGAGAATAAGAGGAAAAGTCCTGAAATTCTACTGGTTATCTAGTTCTCCTCCTTTACCCTAATCATTATGAAAGGAAAGCTCTAGTTCTTGAAAATTCCCCAAATGAGGCAGATAGGGTTAGAACAAGCAGAGGGGAGAAAGGAGCTATGATGGTTGTCCCTGAGGCTTTCCACTGTGAAATGTAGAAATAAGAATTTCTTGTATACTTTTGCCTTGTGTACACTTATAGAAAAAAGTTCAGATTATTTAAGAACACCTGAAGAAATTTCCTGTAAGAAATTAAAACAATGTCTGATTTCTATCTGGAATAAAAGATCATCAAAATAATTTTCCAATCTATTACTGAATATGACACTCCCTGCAACTTCCTAATAAAGAGCATTAAGTCCTTCCTTCCTTCAAATAAATTATATATGAAAATAGTTTCTCTACCTAAACTAAAAGAAGAGAGATTGTCTGGAATAATTCTGAAAAGTCCTACCTTTTCTTTGCAGCTGGAAAGCATGCTAATAATGCTAAGACAAACTGATTGGACTGAGAGCGCTGGGGACCAGTCTTCTGTTAGAATGGATAAACAGATATGACCATTGCTATAAACATGAGGATGAACGGGAATATTTTCACCAGTAAACATGACCTAAGAAAGAATAAAATGCCATTAACACTCAAATATTCTGTATTAGCACAAAATAAAATATTCTCTACATAACTTAATATTTTAAAAATAAAATTATAAACAAACAAAATCAGTGCCAGGAACAAGTTTATTGTTGACTCAGTAAATACTGGTTTCACTATATGAATGAACATGTAGTAGGAGAAAAACCCATTTTATCTATTTTATAGTTCAACTATTTTTCACAAATTCCCTTTAAAAATTTCTAAATTACCATGCATTTTTAGAGTGAAAAACAGTTACTTATGAGAACGGTTTTTCAAATTCTACTCATCCTCTCTGCATATGGAAATCATATACACTAAAATTCTGAACAAAAGTATTCAAATTCAAGATAATATAAATTACAGGTGGAAGGAAAACACTCCTACCCTTAATAAAGCTATCACTGGAGGTGCTATTATATGCAAAAGGAAATGACTCCTATATATTCCATCTCCTCCAAACTCACATGTCCATTACAATGGGTACGAATCACTACTTCTTAATCAATAACATAACTCTCTGCCTGGGTAAAAAAGTAGGTTGAATGAAGTCTTTCAATAAGGTACTTGTTTTTCTCTGCCTTTTCTTTTACTAAATCCTTCCAACTGTTTTTCCTTTCTCTATATTGCCTCAGCACTGTTTTGAAAGGCAATAAACTATTATTTCCTTCCTTTGCCCTAAAAATTCAACAAATATCCCAAGAGTAGTGTTTCTAAAACACATCTACCTAATCATCTGAATAGGGAGGAGAGTAAACTTAAATATCCTGAGGAAACTGTAAGCGTAGATCAAAGTATGTCAAAGAAAGTAGAAATATTTTATTTATTTTGAATAGAAATTAATCCACAAATCTTTAAGTAAATCTTATACTTCAGTAATGTACTGTATTTATTCTGTTGCTTAGTAGTAATTTTAAAAATCAGCTGAAAATCTGGCTAAAAATACAAATTCAAGAGCCCCATTCCCACATATTCTGATTCAGTAGGTATGACAGGATTTTTGTGAAGCTCATCAAATATGAACCAGCAGTTCCCAAACCAAACTTACAGTATCTCATCTCTGCAAACTGCCTCATATTTGAAAACAGCAGAATACTGGTAAGGAGAAACTGTACCTTAAGTTATAACATAAACTGATGAGCTACTGCTCTAGGCATACCCTGTTTCCTTTATAGAGCAGAAAAAAGAGCCAGTGAAGTTGGCCAGAGTAAGGTATGCCATAGTTTAATATGTAATAAGTTATAGGAAATTACCATAAGCTGGGTTTTTATTTTTAAGTATCTAGCTATGAATCTGATTCATTTATAATTTTAAAAATATTTACGTTTTAACAAAGCAGTCTTTCATGCAAGTAGGAGTCCTCTAATATTTCAAATATACTACTAACATATGGGATTCACTTCCTTGCCTGAAGCCAGTAATAGACAGCAAAAGGAATTTTTTCACAAAGGAATGACTTAACATACTTGCATAGTTTTCTTCCTTTAATTTCTGGCCATCCACCCTCCATTCCCACTAAAAAGAGCTAAATTAAAGCTGAAAAACAAAAGCAAAGTCTCAAAAGGTAACTTGCCCTGCCTGACTGCTGACAATTGTTCCCAAAAGGCTACTTTGGCACAATTGTGTTCAAAGTCTACCATTTATCTCAATCATATGTATCAATGTTAGTGCCTTTTTTCTTCACTTTTTGCTAAAAAAAAGTGCTGCTCTGCAAAAGGAAATGGCTGCTTAAATGGTTTTGCAGTTCCACACTTTGAGTCTATCCACAATTATTTTTTAAATTACAACTTTACTTTTTATAAATATAACTATAGTTTATTATATCCCATAATGTGTAGAGAGCTAGACTGGGAATTTACAGATTTCAAAGAATAAGTATCTGCTTCAGGGTATTCATTTTGCCACAAAATGCCATTTGAGCAGCTAGATATTTTTATTAGAAACATAAGCAATGCTTAAGAGCTCATTTTCTGACCATAATTTTTTGAAGGATTTTCTTTTCCAGTAAGGTTTCTTTTTAAGAAGTCAAGTAAAACAGTGCTCTGGAAGTACTAAAAGGTGAAGAATTGCCAAGTTATCTTCTTTTGCAAAAATTAATCAATGTATCAGAAACCATCAAGGAAAACACACAGCCAAATACAAAGATTACCACACATGCTTTGACTAGCCAATACACATAGCAGAAAGCAAGCAGTATTCTTCTTGGGTAGAAATTATTATGAACTAAATCACTTGGCCTGAGAGCCAAGATGTATGCATGAGCCAAGGAAATCAGGATAGAAGAGGAAAAAAACATGATGAGCAGCAACAGAAGATACCACCAGCAGAAGCAGCAGACGGTCTATTAGCAGAGAAGAGAGCCAGAAATCAACAAGACAGAAAAAGCTCTTAAGTCTGAGGGGACTGAAAAGTAACTCAGATCTCAATAACCCTTTAAAAAAGGGAGGGGGGGGAGCTTTTTAACATGCAACATGCAGAGCAAATGCAGCCAGTCTGAAACTTTTAACCATCAAAAACAAGGGAACTAATTAGATGCACATATTATAGGTAACCCCTAGGGCCTAACCTGCCAGATACAGATTTTTAAAAGTCTATATAAAAACGGAAAGACTGAGTTTACATGCCAAAGATGAATTCCTGAAGTGAAAGAAAAAAAACAACAAAACAATAAAACCTTTTTCAACATTTTATTCATGTAAAAGGCTGGTAAGCAGTTTCCACAGTTTTGATATAAACTCTACTACTAGAGTTCTCTGCATATGACAGTAGAGTAATGGAGATGAATTTCTTCAAGATCATGCTCTTAACCATCCTCATTTATTTAATTTGGGGCACAAGCCAAAAGAAGAAATAGACATTTCAGTTATTTTAATGCACCCAAGTAGGTTCTGAAAACTTAAGGAATGATTAAGGTTAAAAACCTTTTTTTGGGAGTCCCCCATAGCTGACAAAACTAAAACAGACGTGACAAAACAACTGAATAAAATTAATTTGAAACTAAAGGAAATAAATATGAAGTTTGCTAATTCATTTATTAAATTACTTATTTGTAAACAACTTACTCAGATTCAAACTAGTTAGGTAGATGAAATTGAGTCAGCAACCCAAGAGTGCACACATTCCCCGCTGCATAAACAAAACTGAATAAAATGGAATTGCAGAACAAGCTATTTTATGGGAAAAAAGTCAGTTTTAGAAAAGGATCTTAGATCTAACATGTATGAACCACTTGAAGTTCTAAGTCTGCATTAGAAGCAGTGCTCAGAAGTCTCAAAATTTTCAAACATCTCCCTATCAGTACAGAAGGCATACTACTCACTGGTTTCAGATTTCTGGAACTAGTGGTCTTGGTGTCAAGCTAGGCCAAACACAGTATATACAGTATGAGCAGTACAAAACAGGCTATAATTATAAAAGCCAGTCTACAATATGAATACCAAGATTTCTCCAGGGAAAATATGAGGGAATATTTTCTCTGATTAAAGTGGTAAGTAGTTGACAATACTTAATGGGCAACTACAAGAACTTAACATATAAGCAGAGAGTTTATAATAACAAATCAGATAGCTAATTATGAATAATGTATGTTATGAGAAGTCTAGCATAAGTGGTAAATATTTGACAAAAGTGACTGAATATTGGAATTTCAGCAGTTTTTGATTCAATCCTCCCATTTTATTCTAATATGAATGAGCAGCATTAATATTAATAGTTTTCCTGGTCTTCCATAATTACGACTAACATACAGCTATAGATGTATTGCTGTACACTGCAAAGACAACTGCAAAGACAAAATTCCTGGATACAATGAAACTAAATCTGGGTTCCTTTGTATGGTAAACACTCTCTCCTTTATACATTGTGTTTTTCTAGTCTACCAGTCTTCTCTTTTGCCCTCCCCTCTGTTTTACCGGCTTCAGTAACTGTTCTCCTTCTTATTAACAGGTGTCCTAACTGCTAGACAATTTAAAGCAGTAAGAACTGTTTATTATTTAAGACTCTGGAAAGCTTAACCATAGCACAGGAAGCAGCAGGGAGACTCTGACTGTCAATAAATGGAAGGATGAAGGCACTATGAAGACAGTGCACTGAGGAGCTCTGCACTGAGGGAATTTTGAGCAATAAAACCATACTATGTCCACAATATGGGGGCAGGAACAGGAGGGAAAAATAAGGATGAGGGGAAAGTGATTATTCTTTTGCCTCAGTGTTTCTTAAGACTTATAATCAAGGTAAGAATAATTCTGCATCCTGCTCTTACCATCAATATGGTTTCAAGATTAAACAGACAACGCCCGCTTCCCCCTAAAAAATATTCCCCCTTCTATTTCTACAATGCCTGTATATTTTTAAAAACTGAGTTTAAAAGTTTAAAAATAAGTATAACTGGGCCCTTCACAAGGTAATATATATGTGTTTCAGATTTGTTTCATTCAAGCAGGAAGCTCTGACAGAGAAAGGGGATATAAGGTAGTGGATATTTGAAGGGAAGAGCTGCTTATATGAGGGAGGAGGTAGAAAGGAAAAGAAGCAAAACAGTAAAGACACTAAACTTGAGGACTTCATAGTTTTGATGGAGACTGACCATACCTTCCAATTCTTGAGATAAACTTTCAATTCTTTCATATTACAAGACTCTCTTTGATGGACCCCAAATACCCTTCCACTCTCATCTTGTGCTGTAGCCCTTCATATGTCTATATGTAAAATGACAACAGCATTTTCTCACAGATGGCTAGAAGAAGCCACGTCCTACCATGCCTGGCCTTACTTTTGACATAGACTCTTCTGGTTCTTTAACTCCCAGGGAAAACTGGTTTTCCTTTGCCCCAGCATTCTATTCTAAATCTGTCATTGCTTTCTTTTTTGCTCCCAAAGCATACAATTCATATTTTAATTTAGTGTCTTTCAATTTCAATGTCTATGCAACAGTTGCATAAGCCAAAAAGTGTGGGGCCCTCCTTGACTCCTTTCCTTCATTCATATTCCACATCAATCTACTGACAAATCTTGTTGGCTCAACCTTTAAGGCTGGTCCAAAATATGGCAACCTTCCACACCTCTACTGCTACCCTCTGGTGCAAGTCACCATCACCTCTCATCTGAATCACTGCAATAAGCTTATCTAGTCTAACTGTACCTGTGTGTCTCCGACAGTCAATCTGCCAAACAGCCAGATTTTTCCTTTTAATTTTAAGTAGGATCATGTCATTCCTCTGTTTCAGAATCTTTAAAGGCTTCCCATCTCATTCTGATTAGAAGTCAAAATTCTTACAATGGGCTACAAATGTCCTATTATACAATCTATAATGGACCCTTCAGCTCAAATTATCTCTCTCACCTATGCCCCACATTCCCCCTCTTGCTTATATAGACAGCACTCTAAGGACCCACTACACAGGCTCCAAATTCAGGACCTTTGCATTTTGTCTTCACCAGCTCTTTCCCTCACCTATTTCACAAGGCTTACTGACTCACATCTTTAAGAATTCTCGCTCTAGTGTCACCTTCTCAGTGAAAGCTTTCCTTATCATTCTATCCAATTCTACAACACCCTCAACCCCTTTTTTCCTACTTGCTTTCACCATCTTTCACACTATATATATTTTACTTACTGTTTATTGTCTTTTTCTACAAAAATGCAAACTCCACATAGCAGTATTTCTGTCATTTTGTTTACCACTGGAATGCCAACGTCTAGTACAGTGTGCGTCCTATGATATGTACTCAATATTTACAGAATGAATGAATAAACGTCTACCTAACCAAATACTAAACAGATTGTAAGCTGTCTGAAGGTAGGCACAATGCCTTTTTAATTTTTGTACTCTTTCCCATCTCTAGTAAACAGAACATGTAACTGTGTTTTTGGCACACAACTCACGCTCAATACTATTTAAATTAACCAATCATATACCTGTATCCTAGCTTAGCAAAAGAGAATATATAAAGGAAGATATTTTATTTACTATATGGCTCATGGTAAGTATGCATTAGCAGAAACCAGACACAAAAAGGTGCCCCAATCTCTGCTCCTATATTAAATGAAAAATTTATTGTTGTTTCTGTTTGTTTTAAAGCAAAAGACTGGGCCAAACACCTCATTTTTCAAGCATTAATAGTCAGAAATGATGCTGATAAGCCAGAAGCCAACAGCAGAAAGTAAAGATCATTTTCTGGAAAGAATGAAGACATTTGCCTTTGCTTTTTAATTTAGTCTACAGATGTCTATTATAGAGGTCTAGAGGTCATGGCAACACACAGCCCTTTGCTTTATTTTTATGAAAATGATGAAAGCCCCCCAAATCCTTAATTTTCTGCAAGTAGGAAGTTTAATTCTACACCTCAAAACAGTTATCTCTTTATCTATAGCACAATGTAATAACTGACTTCCTTCCATCTATGCTTCTACATGGCAGAAGAAGATTAAGCTATGTTTGGTATTCTATTTTAAGTGGCAATAAAATGATTTTTCTCAGAAATAACATATTTTATAGTAAGTAGCAAATTGAATTTCTGGTATTTGGGAAATTTTATTATCTAGAACACCTCATTACCTAGCAATACTAGATAAAGCTGGCATTAAGTCTTACCACTAGTAACTATTAATTTGGCCACTAGTAACTCACTTACCCACCTCACCAAGCCAGAAATCTGGAAGTCATCCTAGAGTCTCCCTTTCTCTAACTTCAATCATTCACTACAATTAAACATCTCTCAAAAACATTCCTCTACCACAATCCCTTGTCCAAGTATTAAGCCATTAAGTAGTGACTATGCCTCAAATTATAATGATCAGATTTGGGGCTCGTATCTACATTCTTAACATCTTGTTAAGGTTTCATGATATATTCTTCCCTTCCAGTACTAAAAGTCTGCAAAGACAGCATATCCGTGCAAAGCAAAGAAGTATTCCTTTTAATAAAGCACTGCCCCTTCAAAATGTCATTCTATCTCATCTAGGAAGAAGTGCCTCCCTCCAGTTACTCCAAAATGCTAGTTCTCACACAGCCCAAGGGCCTGGGTTAGCTTCCCTTCCTCTTTTCTGTTAACATCTATGGAGAACAAACTCTGTTAAGTTCTTATAAATACAAAAGCAGCAAAGCCCTCATCTCAATAAAGGAAAGTAAAATGTTCATAAGATTCTATTCATAAGATTATATTACAAATCTATTCACATAGTTATAATGAATTTCTTTTGTAAGTTTTTAACTAAGTAAAAATACCACTAATTTATAGTATTTAACTATAATTTTTAAATATAATAAATTTTTAAAAAGTGAGGCAGTTACCTGAGGAGAGTCAAAAGGATATCGACTACTAAACTTAAATAGAAGTTGAAATTTTTCCCCTTCATACAAGGTACCTGGGGCACCTTCCATGTCTACAATCCACCTAGAATAGAAAGAAACAAATTAAAAACTTCAGGTAAAAGGGATTGGGGTGAGAAGGAGAAAAGTACTTCCTCTATGCCAGGCACTGGGCTAGGAGCCATTCAAGTGCAACAGCATAATTCATCTCCCAACAATTACACAGTAGGTATTAATACTCCAGGCCCTATTTCCTCCTCTGACACCCAAGGGTTAAATAACTAGATCGAGGTTAGACAGCTAGCAAAGGACAGAGACAAAGTTTAACCCAAATCTGAAAAACACAAACAAAATAAAAACCCAGCTCAGTTACGTTCACACCAAAGCCTGCACTCTTCCTACTCAACTTAGGCTACCTTAATTTCCCAAAAGACTATTTCTATAATGACTGAAAAGATTTTATTGACAACATCAAACCAATGAACTGCTTTTCTGATAGCAATTGTTTTGGAAGCAATAAGGGAGGTAGGTATCAACAATGACTACAGAGAATTGTAGCTGTCACACTGGTTTTTCCATCCTACAAAACGACTAGATAGGAAAAAAGTAGATAACTTGAGATCAGTCCATTTAATCTAACAGCTATTCAAGGCTCTATATAGCCATTCCTTGTCTCATTATGTTTCTTTTTATTTTTTTTAATTATGGTATCATTAATCTACAATTACATGAAGAACATTATGTTTACTAGGTTCCCCCCTTCACCAAGTCCCCCCCCCACATACCCCTTCACAGTCACTGTCCATCTGCGTAGTAAGATGCTGTAAAAATCACTACTTGTCTTCTTTGTGTTGCACAGCCCTCCCCGTGCCCCCCACGCACTATACATGCTAATTGTAACGCCCTTTCTTTTTCCCCGCCCTTATCCCTCCCTTCCCACCCATTGTCCTCAGTCCCTTTCCCTTTGGTAACTGTTAGTCCATTCTTGGGTTCTGTGATTCTGCAACGCACTATACATGCTAATTGTAACGCCCTTTCTTTTTCCCCGCCCTTATCCCTCCCTTCCCACCCATTGTCCTCAGTCCCTTTCCCTTTGGTAACTGTTAGTCCATTCTTGGGTTCTGTGATTCTGCTGCTATTTTGTTCCTTCAGTTTTCCTTTGTTCTTATCTCATTATGTTTCAAAGGTTTAATGAAACACAGAATAGATTCTATGGCATCTATGCAAGCTTACTTCATTTCTCCATATATAAAAATCATGAATATAAATGTTGATATTTTGCACAGTATCTCTTGCTCTTTAAAAATAAAAAGGAGGGGAGTAAGAGGAATAGGCATTATGACGGCAAGGAAATGGAGCAGCTTTTAGAAGCAAAAGTGGACTGAAGTCATGAGTTCTTAATTATAGCACTGCCACTTAAAATTATTGTACATGTGGCCAATTCCTTTAATCTTATATGTGTCAGGTATAAACATTTATTATTTTAAATACAGGAAAACAAAAGCAAGTAAGACTAAGAATACAGTGTTGGAGTTCTATTCATCACTCTATATAATGGACTCTTTAAAAAATTTAAGTTCATTTATTTTTAATATCTATTTTACAAATGAAGTAAAATAATTAATGTGCCTACTCTCTGAAAGCAGGCAGCTAATGCATAAAGACCCTTAAGAGCATGGCTATTTATTTTCAGAATGTGTGCTGTATTAATACCATACATGGTTATAAAAGACATGACCACAGACTGAGGGAGCAATATTTTACAGTGAAATTAGACACTTCCCCTTTAACTAGCAATGTGGTCATGAGGAAGCTGTTTTACCTCTGACTTTAACTACTACAATTGTAAAATAGATATTAACATAAATAAACAAAATTAAAAAAGATAATCACTCAGAAGTGTTGGAAAGATAAATGACATTACATATGTAAAAAACCTAGCATATTCCTGACATCAGAGCCAGTACACAGTGAATCAAACACAATGCATTAAGTTGAATTTAAAAACAAAAACAAAAACTTAACTCTTTACAAATTAAGTCCTTCCTAGCCATCAAAATCCCCTTTTATCATTCCCTGGACACACACTATACAGAATGATATTCCATAGAAAAAATCAGAGGCCATCCTGGTGCCCTTTCATTCTGTTTATAAGGCAATTTTTAGGATACGATATACTGTATAAATTTACATGTGATCCAAGCACAGCTTTTAAATATAACTAAGCAAAGATCTCAGTAATCCTTCCAATATCTGGGTGAGACAGGTCAAAGAAAGCATACTTTTCAACATTGTGCAGGATAATTTTAAATAAACTTTTATTAATTAAAAAAGTAGTATGTGTTCACTATAGAAAATTTAGGGAAGTATAAATAAAACAAAAATCATCCAAAGATAATCACTATTAAAAATTTTTTGGGTACATTTTCATTCTAGTCATTTTGCAGTTCCTGTATCAATGTAAATGAAGTCCACTAGAGTTGCATTATGTACACACGTAAATTACATAAACTCAAACCATCAGTGCTTATGATTCCAACTGCAAGTACATGCACCAGGAGTAAGGATAAGATGGCTGAAGTCTCAGTTCTTCACTTCCTGTGAGTAGCTGCTGCTTGATGATTCTGTTTATACAGGTATTTTCATGTATTCATGGCTCCCTACCAAATCAAAGAACAGGCAACTATTCCTCTCTGAAGGAAAAACTAGCTTTGCTGGATATATTAAGACAGGATCCATACCAATATAGCCTCTTTCAGGGGTTTTCAAAGGTAATTATGACGATACAAATTTCTGCCTTACATGCTGACTAGAGTAAAACTCAAGGAATGCCACTTCACTGTACTATCTTGAGAAACCCATTTCTCTATAATTGACATTTACATTGTTTCCAAATTGTTCCTAGACATAGTAATGTTGTAATAAGTATATTAAATATTAAGTTCTAAGTCAGTCTTTTTGTATCTCTTGTTACTTCTTTAGGATAGCATAGGGGTTTATTTATTAGGTCAAAATATATGATATTCCTATTTATTAAGAACTTAATACATGCTACCAAACTATCCTCCAGAAAGCTGAATGTGCTTTTATCATCTTCCTTACCCAAACCCACATCCATATAATCTACTTGAACAACTATTTTAAGATCTGATTTTATGACTATTTTTATATCCTAGAAGATGGACTGAAGATAAGTTTTTTGTGATTCTTTACAACAAATTATTTTAAAAGAAAAATGATTGCCTGACAAACATCTCTAAAGGACAGGTTTATCTGTGACAATGTCAATGCTGTTTATAATTTGTGGTATAACTACTCAATCATCTATATGCTTCTGTTTGTAAAAACATAAAAGATTCCTTTAACTTTTTATAAATCATTGTGTGGTTCCCAAAAAAGTGAAAGATGAAAAAGGAGGCAAAATTATTACCAATTTCCCTGGAAACTACAAGTCTAGCTGTTACAGGATATTTTGAAGTTAACAAAAGGAGAGAGGAAAAAGATGAAAATAGAGCATAATCCATTTGTTTGGTTATAAAGAAAATGTCACTTATTAATTATATAGAACAAATGCCATACACTCAAGATGTGTTTCGTTTTCATATGTTGTTTCATACAAATGAAAAATCAACTGAGAGCCACAAAAAAGACATGGAGAATCTTATCTTAAACCTACTAAGTAAGAGAAGCCAATCTGAAAAGATTACATATTATATGATTCCAACTATATGACATTACAGGAAGGGGAAACTATGGAGACAATACAAAGATCAGTGGTTGCCAGGGGTTGGAATGGGATGAACAGGAAGAGCAAAAGGGATCGTTAGGGCAGTAGAAATATTCTTTATGATACCATAATGACGACAGATGCCATTATGCATTTTCCCAAGTCCATAGAAAGTGCAACAACTGATAGTGAATTGTAATGTAAACTACAGACTCTGAATGATAATGGTATGTCAATGCAGGTTCATCAATAGTAACAAATGTATCACTCTGTTGGGGAATATTGGTAACAGGATACAATGCATGTCTAAGAGTAGAGGGTATATAGGAAATCTCTGCACTTTCTGCTCAGTTTTGCACTGAACTTATTTTGAGGTTTTTTTTTAATGAGAGGGTCAATTATTTTAAAATGTCCCCCTATTTCAGAACATTTACTCTTGTCTAACAGAATTATTAAATCAAGGAAGTGATATGGATAGACTAGACTGGATTGTGAGATTTTAGGATGATATTCTTGTAAACATTTCAAATGCTCATTTTTAAGAAGAGAGCTGTATCTCTGCTCTTCTTGGTATCATCTCTGATCTCTCTGTTCTTCTTGGTATCATCTCTGGGAAGAGACTTCTACTCCCCTCCCAAGGAAGGAGCTGAATTAGAACACTTCTGTGTCCTCCCACCTTTCACTTTTCATCCTCATGCAAAAATTTATCAGAAAAGATTGCTGAGAGCCTGACATTCCTTTAGCTACCTTCTGTACAAGAGGCAATGTGTTCAGGGCATAGCGATGAACACCTCTTTTCTGTTACTCTCTTCAAAACCTTCAATGTGTTTATGGAAAATCTGATAAATAATCTCATTCTAAACTGGTCTACTATAGATGGTCATTTCATAAACAAAATTAGACCAAAGTTTTAAAATGCTGCTTCATCAGGAGGAAATTAAAAAAATATATTACTAACCAAAGACATGGTTTAAAAAAGGAAGTTTTTTATTGGTAAATCAAAGATCAACGCATGCTTTAAATATCCTTAATGTTGTTCACTTAAAGGGTGTCAGATGATCAGCTATGGAGGTACTCTTTTCTGATAATATTCCTTTCTCTTAAAAAAAAAAAAAAAGCAGTTACTGTGTGCTGACCTCCAATGAGTTCTGCACAGTGGTATAGAGGGCATGTCAAAGTGTGGGCAAAGGGTCTGTTTGTTTCTATGCAGAAGATCAAGGCCTAGCTTGGATACCCAGAAAATGAACTAAGATACGATATGAGGAGGAGCTTCCGGCATCAGCACTCTCTGGAGGACTTGTGCCGGGGGATGATCATCAAAAAGCCTCCACAGGGATCCGGACGATGCTGCGGTTGTGGCTGCATCCAGCCCACCGTCTCCTGGACTTGCCATAAGAAGGAGGAGGGAGATGTCTAGGCTGGCATGTGCATACAGTGAGACAACGAATTTGACCGGATCTGTACTGTTGGAACTCAACCAGGAGTTGGGAGGGGTGCAAGTTGTAGCACTCCAAAATCTCATGACTATAGACTATCTATGGTTAAAAGAACATATGGGATGTGAACAGATCCCAGAAATGGGCTGCTTTAATTTGTCTGATGGTTCAAGTACAGTTGGACAATATCCATCATATCATAGATAAATTTTCACAAATGCCTAGGGTGCCTAAATGGTTTTCTTGGCTTCACTGGAGATGGATGGTAATTATAGATTTGCTTTGTTTATGTCACCGTATTCCTATTATGTTAATATGTGTGTGCAAATTAGTTAGTAGTTTAAAACCTATACATACTTAAGGTACTATACAAGAAGATATGTCAAAGAAATAATCAATCCTCCCAAGTTTCCTTCATATGCTACATCTATAGCTTTTCTTCTTCCTTCCTAATTACAAACCTTAAATAGAATTCGTGCCTCATATCGAATTTACCGAGTATCATAATTCCTCCAGGTGGTAAAGATACCTCGAGACAAGTGCTGGGCATAGAAGCCACAGGGCATAAATCTGCAAAGAAGTAAAAAGCTAACCTTTGCAAACAATATGGCTTCTCTCTCACTTACCAACTTTACATTTCCCTGTATGGCCCCGGAAGATGACTGGTTAGCCAGAGACGGGTAAGATTCCTCAAGGGAGGAACAACCTAAGACAGGCACAGTCGCAGGGGGGCCATCAGGTGAGAATTTGGGGATCAACAGAGGTGAGGCTCAGAACCTCACCCCCCCTGCTTTGAGAGAAATCTTCTGCATCCGTGGATGTCTTGCTGCCCTTGTCTAGCCTGGATTAATACTTAGTCCATAGGCACACACCTGATCATCTGATCATCTACATTTGCCTTCTTACAGCACTAAACTATGTTTTCTACCTTTATCTTGCATCTACCTACCACTTCAGCATTTTATTAAAAATAAAAATAATAATAATAATAGGAGAAATGTGGGATCAACATATAAATCAAGTACAAAAATCAAATGAATATTCATATTTGACCTGATGGTTTATAGGTCATATTGCATGATCAAAACCGAAAGTTTCTGTGATGAATGCCCTTGTACTGTTCACCATGTAAGAATTTATTCACTATGTAAGAATTCGTTCACCATGTAAGAACTTGTTCGTTATGCTTCAGAAGATTGGAGACTGACGAGAATTAGACTTGAGATGAATTAATGATTGTACATTGAGCATTGACCCCCCTATACTGAATTTTATTGTTGTTAACAACCATTTGATCAATAAATATGAGAGATGCCCTCTCAAAAAAAAAAAGGAAGTTTTACAAATTATACATTATATACAATGTGTACAATATTATTACATAAAATTGTGCACATAAATGCATAGATTAGATGTTTATTTCCTGGTGCAAGAAAATGGGACGAAATATGTAAATAATTCTGTTTTAAAAGTAAGTATATAGTTATACATGCTTTACATTGATAATAAAAGAAACACGTAAGTACTTTAAAAGTCAAATACTTACTGTGTAATTGAATTTTGAACACTCTTTTCATTTAAAGTCATCCCGGGAGGTGGGTCATTTTGCAAAGCCAACAGTTCTTTCTGCAGTCGTTTCTAGAAAAAGTATCAATAATAATTATACTTTTCTTTCCAACATATCCCTCTAGTTAATACAGTTTGAATTCCTTGATTAAATTCCTCCAGATGCACGTACATTTTCATTTACAAGCTCTTTAAATCTTCTGTATATCTTATATGCCCAACTCTCAAATTTTTAATTGCTATCTTAAAATTCACAATCTATTGTCAAAATATTTCTAAATATATTTGTGAACAATGATACTATAAAGTGCTTATGAAGAGCAGCCAGCTACCTACAAAACACAGCTTCTCTACTGAGGTCATAAGGTCTCAGCCTAGGTTAAAAGGGTGTAAAAAGTTTAGTTGTGCATCCTATTATAAAAAGTTGTGCCTTCCTATTATAAAAAACCTAAGTTCTCTAAAATCCATAAAGAATGCAACATTTCAGACAGACAAACTTTTCAGAGGAACTACACAAGTAACCTTTCATACAAAAAGTCTTTTGAAAAAATTTAAATAATTGTAATTTATAATTTACAGTCCATATGTCTATTTTCTTAAATAGTTTCATTTGTACATATTTTAATCTTTCAACATGAGAATATAACGTCAGGGTTCAAGATACGTATTTTTTCACATTGTAGATGACCCAAAATGGCTATGTATTTTTGCATTTATACAGCTTTCTTTTATTATTCAACTCTTCCCTTGTAATCACTAGTGGACATTCTTTTCCAGTGTATAATAAACTCAAACAAAAACCATAGCAGCCCATAATTTATGGGTTTAAAAACCAAATAACCAATGTTATTAGAATTGCATGCAACATTATAAAGATTCTTAATGAGCATCTTTTCTTGGATTAAAGTAGACAAGCATGGACATCCTGGTCAGAACTCAACAATTCTCTGCTTGAAAGTCAGTGTCTGCTTTTTCTGGATAGTGAAATATTACTATCAATAAAGCAATGTTCCTAAATATTTTCAATTCATGACACCTTTAAATTTAAGTAAGTTTCACATCATCCAACGCCACTACAGATTAGAAAACTCCTCCTTTCTCTGATGAAAATTGTAATAGAACTTTTAATAAATGGCTCTGTAAGTTGCTAAAAATGAAAACGTATCCTCAGATCTTGAGTATCATAACTGCTAGTAACAATGAAAATATCTACTTAGAATTTCTGAACTCTGCTGCCTTCCAAAATGCAAAATAATTACAAATGAAAATTAGTTAAGTCTTAATTATCTAAAATACAGAAATAAAGCTGCCTAAATAACTTGTTTCGAATAAAGAAAGAATATATCAGTGATAAATTTTTATGTTAGAACAGGTTTTTTTATTCTACTTAAAAATGAGGGTTCTGCGATCAAGGAAATTTTTAGGAACAACTGAGCTCAAGAAAGAAGTGATTTCTTCAAAAGTAATAGAACCCTTTTAGGGCAGAGCACCTTGGAAAAGTCTTGTTTCAATGACCACATTTTGGGAAACACTGCTATGGAAATCATGCAGATTTTGAGAACTTAAGTCTTAAGACAGGGAGGACAACCCTTGCTATAGAATCAATGATATAAAGGAGGGTCAATATGCATAAACTACCAACTGAAACACACTGATATAAGGCAAGCTAAGAAGCTTTATTGGTATAATTATCCCTAGGTCTCCTGAGTATAATGAAGGGTGAATTGAAAGAAGAAATGTTCTCCCCACCCTGATACTACTTCCTACATGTCCTCCTTTCTTTCTCTGCTGTATCTCCCTCTCCAAGCCCATCTGTGTTACCCAACAAAATGGTTTACTGATTTGGTGAATCCATCACATTATTCTGGTGTAACAAATCCCAGCTCTCCTCCAGTGCTGGCACTGATACTGGCTAACATTTACTGCTTCATGTGCTCTTAAAATGTACTATACCACCTCAATGAAACTAAGTGGAGAAATTAGGAACAATTTCTCCAAGTCCTCCTAACATGAAAAGCATGGCCCAGGTTCACAGACCACATTTTTTGTGTAACACGATGATAAACCATGGAGTTTCATCCCAATGTAGGATCTTTGCCTCTTCAGCCCCTCATCATTTTCATCAATGCCTATGCTTATTTATTAGTTCCAGTTTTCTACTTTTACAGACAGATGAGGGTGATGTATAAAAAGTACTATTACGGTTGTTTTATAATGAATGTTAACTGTTTTAAGTTGAAGAATACCACATATATTGAAATGCTCCTAGAGAAAGAGAGCTCAGTATTTTAAATAGCATCCTAAAAGCTCATTCAAATCTAAAACAATACAATTTCTAAACTCATAAGTTTCTAGAAGTATTATCCCACACTATTGTTATATTGGAGCCAAGGAACAGAAAATTTAATTCATACTCTTGTTGTAAGTCAAAACCAGAAAAAAATATATCCTTTTTATATACAAACAATGGCAATAAATCAATAAACAAACTTGACAAGATTCCTGGCCCTGTAAAGTTTAAATTCTAGTAGGTGAAGAGACAGTCAATAAATAGTAACAAAACAGTAAGCATATGGTATATTAAAATATGGTAATAAATGGAGCAAGTTAAGGGGACGGAGCATAAGGCCTCACATCTTATAAAGCTTTACCTCAAGCTGACACCCTGAGAAACTACAGGCATACCTTGTTTTACTGTGCTTCACAGATACTGTGTTTTTCACAAGCGAAAGGATCATGGCAACCCTGGGCAGAGCAAATCTATTGGAACCATTTTCTCAACAGCATTTGCTCAGTTCATTTCTCTGTGTCACATTTTGGTAATTATTGCAGTCATCACAAACTTTTTCATTATTATATTTATTATGGTGATCTGTGATCAGTGATCTCTGATGTTATTATTGTAACTGTTTTGCAGTGCCACAAACCATGACCACTTAAGACAGCAAACTTAATGTGTGTGTTCTCACTGCTCTCTCAACTGGTTGTTTCTCAATCTCTCTCCTTCTCCTTGGGCCTCCCTATTCCCTGAGACACAGTAATATTGAAATTAGACCAATTAATAAACCTATAATGGCCTCTAAATGTTCAAGTGAAAAGAAGAGTGGCACGTTCCTCACTTTAAAACAAAAGCTAGAAATGATTACATTTACTGAGGTAGGCATGTCAGAAGCCAAAACAGGCCACAAGCTAGGTCTTTTGTGCCAGTTAGCCAAGGTGTGAATGCAAAGGAAGTTCTTGAAGGAAGTTAAGAAGTGCTACTCTTCTGAACACATGAACAATAAAACACAGCCTCACTCATGATACAGAGAAAGTGTTAATGGTCTCGATAGAAGATCAGATCAACCACATTCCCTTAAGCCAAAACCCTGATCCAGAACAAACCCTGACTCTTCAATTCTTTGAAAGCTGGGAAGTGTGAAATCTGTAAAGAAAAGTTTGAAGCTAGCAAGGGTTGGTTTATGAGGTTCATAAGGAAAGAAGACATCTCCCTAACATCAAAGTGCTGGAGAAGCTGCAGCAAGTTACCCAGAAGATCTAGCTAAGATAAGTAGTGGAGGTGGCTACAACATTGAAAACAAAAGATTTTCAATGCAGATGAAACAGCTTTCTCTTAGAAGATGCCAACTAGGACTTTTATAGTTAGGAAAAGTCAACATCTGGCATCAAAGCTTCCAAGGACAGGCTGACTTTCTTGTTAAGGGCTAGTGTAAGTGGTGACTTTATGCTGAAGTCAATGCTCATTTAGCATTCCAAAAATCCTATGTCCTTTTAAGAATTATGCTACATTTATTTTGCCTGTGGTCTACACAGTAAATGGAGCAACAGAGACTGGATAACAGCCCATCTGTTTATAATATGGCTTAGTGAATATTTGAAACCCACTGTTGAGGCCCACTGCTCAGAAAAAAAAAATTCAATATGCTGCTTATTATTAACAATGCACTTGATCACCCAAGAGCTCTGATGGAGATGTACAATGATATTCACGTTGTTTGAATGCCTGCTCACACAACATCCATTCTGCAGCCTATGTACCAAGGAATAATTTTGACTTACATGTCTTAGTACTTAATTTCGTAAGACTACAGCTGCCATAGATAGTAATTTCTATGATGGATCTGGACAAAGCCAACTGAAAACATTCTGGGAAGGATTCACCATTCTAGAAACCATTAAGGATATTTGTGATTTATGGGAAGAGGTCAAAATATCAACATTTATAGGAGTTAGGAAGTTGATCCAACTTCATGTAAGACTTCAGTGGAAGAAGTAACTGCAGCTGTGGCAAGAGAACTAGAATTAGGAGTGGAGCCTGAAGATGTAACAGTATTTCTGTGATGTCATGATAAAATCTGAATAGCTAAAGAGTTACTTTTTAAGGATGAGCAAAGAGTGATTGTTGAGATGGAATCTACTCATGCTGAAGATGCTGTGAAGACAGTTGAAATGACAATGGATTTAAACTACTACATAAACTTAAGTTGATAAAGCACTGTATGGTTTAGGAGGCCTGACTGCAATTTTGAAAGTACTCCTACTGTGAGTCAAATGTCATCCAATAGCATCACATACGACAGAGAAATCATTTGTGAAAGGAAGAGTCAATGGATGCAGCAAACTTCACTGCTGTCTTATTTTAAGAAATTGCCACAGCCATCTCAAACCTTCGGAACCACTATCCTGATCAGTCAGCAGCCATGAACATTAATCAAGGTGAGACCCTCCACCAGCAAAAGGATTATGACTCAATGAAATGATGATTAGCATTTTTTAGCAGTATTTTAAAATAAAGATACGTATATTTTAGACATATTATTGCTTGCTTAACATGAAAACATAGTATACATACTAAGATTATATTGTAAACATAACTTTTATATGAATTGGGCAACCCAAAAATTAGTTTGATTCATTTTATTGCAATATTTGCTTTATTGTGGTATCTGCTTTTACTGTGGTGTCTGGAGCTGAATCCACAGTATCTCCAAGGTATGTCTATACTCTAAAGCATGGTAACACTTCTTTAGGGTATAGAGAAATTTAAACAAGACACAGGAAAACATTTAAAA